TATGACCACGTTTTTATTAATTTCCTTCTGTATTTTTGTCAATGCTCTGTCCAAAAACAATTTTTCAAAAGGAAAGAAAGTATAATTATTGCACAGAAGAAAGTATAATTATTGCATTTTATTATATGGCTCTCTAAAGTAGATGACTCTGATTGGTCAGATGTGGCATTCAGTGGTTAAATATTTCTTAATCTTGACTGTCATCCAAAGCTAAGTATACAGACAATCAGTTACCAGAGAGAAGTGAAACTGAGTATTTTCAACACTAGACTGAGATGTCTATTTTGCACTATTACGAAGTGTAACATGCTGTAGTTTTTGAAACAAAGCAAATTTAGTGTGGATTCAAGAAGAGCTTTCTGCTTTTTCAGCCCCCAGACAAATCTCCCAGCAGAGAGCTGTAACAGCTTGACAAGAGACTCACCAGAAACAATGGATGAAGGATAAATAAAACACTTTATATTGAAATCAACCTCTTTTCTCTAAACAGTGGTTGAGTAAGGAAATGGCACTGTATGGCTAACCCACCTAAATTTATATGTTGCAGACTTTGAATGAAGCATGAAACATGCAGAATGCTAAAAAAAAGTTATTATGGTCATACATTTGCAGGAGTAAAAATATAGGGTGGTGTAATGAGATTTATGCAGTCATTTCTGCTGGTGTCTTGTTTTGACATTTCATCAAGCGCCCAGGTAATATTTGCGACGAGTGCACGGGCTGCCTGCCTGATGACAAATTAGAGAGAAGACCTGAATGAAATATCAAAAAGTAATTTGATATTCCTCATCGACTTGATTAACATCATCACCTTAATCAAGACATGCAGGATTGAGTGGCGAGTTGATCAGCATTCAGATGAGATGTTTATAAACACAACTCACCCATTCATGAAATTGCACATGCCTCTGTCATGAATATGGATGAAGAGCATTTGGCTTATTCAAGGAACATTTTCAATCAAAAAAGAAAAAAACAATATATATTTTTTCTCAGAGACAAGCACTTTGGGAGTGATCCCTATGATAAATTTCAGACAAAAAATGATTGCTTGCTTAGATTTGTTGTGCTGCATTCCCAATGGTAAATCTCTCCCAGTTCCCTAGGGGTTTAAACATAACAAGTTATTTAAGATGAAAGTGGAAAGAATTTCACAGATATCAAGCCTTGGACAACAGCCCTCTTTTATCTTATCACACAACATTTAAAAGCTGTTAAAACATTTTAATTTAATCGTTATCGTAATTTTGCTACACTCCCCTGGAGTTGACACAATCTTGTCAAACTGGCAGAATAATCCAGCTGGTTTTGGATGATTACAGTTATTTTAGGGTTTTATTAACCATTTGAGGATGCTTGAATCTGTTATTTTGTTCTTTGCTGAAACCCCACAGTTTGTTTCAATTTGTCTTAATTCTTAGGGATTTTTCTCAGCATGTTTTCAGAAGGAAGGGAGAGAAGGGGGGAATCCATGTGAAAACATCTCCACAGGCTCTCAAACAGATGTCCATCGAGTGCACAGTGAGTTTAAAGTCTACACTCTTAAAAATAATGGTCCTTTATTGGCATCTATGCTTCTGTGAAGAACCTTTAGCATCCATGAAACTGTTCCACTGCACAAAAGGTTCTTTATAGTGGAAAAAGTTTCTTTAGATTATTAAAATGCTCTTCCCTTTAAGAAAAAAAAAAGTTTTTGTTCACTGGTTCTGTGGGGAACCCAAAATTGCTCTTCTGTGGCATCACAGCGAAAACCCCCTTTTTGGAACCTATCTATCTATCTATTTATCTATGTCTGTCTGTCTGTCTATCTATCTATCTATCTATCTGTCTGTCTTTCTATCTATGGTGAATTATTTCACTTGCTCGAACCACCATTATCCAACACGTAATCAATTTACAGTTTTTCTCAGTCGCTTTGGTACATTTCTCTGTATATTGTAAAATGCAAGTGGAATACTGTAATATTGTATGAAGCATTACAGAAAGTATACAGTATTACAGTACAGTGCCTATTGTTAGATTACATATCTGTTCTGTCGACAAAAAGTCTGAATGATTGAGGACACAGTTGTTCTCCCAACATTTGGCTGCACCCTTCGACCAGCCTCAGCCATTGTAAGCCCATGATTGAGAACGTGGTCTACACGTGTGGCTCTTATCTCATCAGGAACACGCATATGTCCTCTGCCTCTTCTGCCTCTTCCTCTGTTTTGCCTCCCAACTCTAATGGCACTCTTTATCTCCCTTAGTCTTATGGCATTGTTTTCTACAACCATGGTGCAAATAGCCTCCTCCTGTTCAGGTGTGAAAAGGGGCCCTCTGCCACCCCTGTGAAGTTGTCTTGCAGTCCTATGTGGAAAAAAATATAGGAATGCAAAACACAAAATTGAGTAAGATAAAATGTCACTGTTTAAAGTAGACTTACTGTATATTGTAAAATGCAAGTGGAATACTGTAATATTGTACATAATCATTTGCATGGATGTACCAAAGCATTTGCAACTTGTTCAAAGAAATGAGAAACTGCTTTTTTGATGTGCACAAGTGACACAATGATGTGAAGATTGAACAGGTAGTTTTGAGAATTTCAATTCTGATCTGAGAAATGTTGCAAAGCGACTGAGAAAAACTGTAATCTGTTTCTGCATCGAGACAAGACCCAGCTGTTCAATCTCTGATTCTGAGTTGAGAGCAGACCATTGAACAAACACGTGGATGTGACAGTGTTAGTCAAATCCCATTCGTTACGGCGAATTAAATTTTGATTTCCCAGAGGGCAGCTCTCTTTGAAGAGGTGGGCTGCTGGCACTGATGGAGCGATAGACAGAGAGCGAGAGAGAGCGATTAGCTCTGAGACATGGCATCGGAATCTAGAGCATGCTGCTGTAACAAACACACCAAGTGTAGCAAGTTTCTGAAATATGAGAAAGTAAGCTAAGCCTATAGTGTAGAGTTCAAAATATATACAAATGAATTCTGTGTAATTACACTTCTGAGGTTCACAAAAAGTAGAACTTTTACAGAAATTATAGATCGTTGCATCACAGGAGTGATGGTCTGTTTTAGGATTTAAGTTGGAACTCTGACTCATTTTCCAATCTTTGTCACAGCAGCAGATCGCTGTGCAATTGCTACACATTTATTCTATTGCAAAGTATCAGGGGTATGATATCCTGTCATCCTGTCAGTGTCTATACACATATTTGAAAATGATTGCTTAATACATAATGTATCATGCTAAAAAAGTTCACGAAGTAACATAGAAACAAGCTAGTCGATGATGGGCCAACTTTAGACAAAAATGACTTCATTTCCGAATAATTTCTGGCATTAAGGGAATATTACCAAATATATGTTTTCCCACAGCATAGTGCCATTCCAGTGAAATAAGAATTTCCTGCAAGACAAGCAATGTGAGAACTTATGTGTTGGTGAATTTGTCACTGAGTCAGTATGACTCATAATCTCAGTAGATTTCCCAATAATTCAAAGGTCCGTCATTCAGAAAGCTCAACAGATTATTTTATTGTACACTAAATTTTAATTAACCCTTAAATGAGTACTGTGAATTCAGACATACTTATTTTGCCACATACTCTTTTTCACCTACTAAATAGGCTAGTACATAAGTATGTGATTTCGGATACAGCAGTGCCTTATTATTATAACATTGCTGCAGTGCTTGTCTTGCTGCTTGCTATACAGTCATTATCGCATTAATACTTTACAGTCATTATCAAACATATGGTCATTATCTGGTCATCTAAATAAATAACTGAATAAATAAGTAAATAAACCCTGATAAAATTCTTTTTCCACATAATTGCCTTAATGTGGTTTATTTTGTGAGCTGAAACTTAGACTTTCAAATAGCTTATTAATGTAATTGGCTTAAAATGGCAATAATAATAATAAAAAGCCTTAAAAAAGCATTCATATAAATACCACTCAAACCATAACCCATTTTATTATCTTTCAAATGTATCCAATTGTCATCCCCCATATTTAGTTTGACAAATGAAAAGTTACTGAATGAGGAGGACAAACCTCAAGTCTTTTCTCAATAACTTCTGGATCTGATGAATACTTACAGTACAGCTAAATAGATTTTGGAGAGACTGACTCTTGGTTATTGTTTTACATTTGTGGCCTGACAAACTGCCAAGCCTACTGTCTGAGTGCTGGAAAACAGATTAATCAATTTCAAACCAATCAATAACAATTATGTAATGACTTCTGTTCAAACTGCTCATGCTTCTTTTCATTTATTCTGGCATCTCTACTGCAGTGAATTCATCTTGTATAACCATTCAGTTTTTTCTCCCATTGGAAAAAGTAACTGTGGTTTGCCAAAGGTTTTAAGTTTTTGGTTTTACCATGTGCACAACCACACAACATCAATCTCAAAGCTCATGGTCCTTTGTGAATCCATTAAAGGGAAGATGAGCAAGGGGGATGTTTACAGTATTTTAAGTGAATGCTATACACACACCATCTTGTAGATAAAAATAACTAGTGCAGTGCAAAGCTGGTTTCCTTTGCCAAAAACAGTTTTCTGAATAAACTATGACTATGACAGTCAATTAGAACAAACATGCCAACATTGCTGAAAGGGTTTGTGTTTAAACCTTTTTCAATAAATCAAACAATTTTGAAATTTGCTTGTACTTCTGTCACGCTTACTTTTATATGAGGTATCTATGCTTAGGCTACATTATTATTTCATACAGCGTATTTATTGAGGCCTACATATTGTTTAGCGAAACTGTCACAAAATTCACATTTCAACAGATTCAGTGTTACAAAAAACGTCGTAGGCCTATGGCTTTTCACAGAACAACAGATGTTAGCCAACCCTTCATGTTTAATGCTTTAGCCCAACATTTTGCCCATTCTATTCTGTTTTATTATTAATCTCAAGTAGATTGAGTTCATAAATAGCTGGGATTGGTGGGAGCAAGAGAGAGAGAGAGAGAGAGAGAGAGAGAGAGAGACATTGTGGTTGAATACAGTCAGAAAGGCTTTCATCAACTCGGTCGCTCAGAAAGTTCTCTGTATCGCGGTCCGCTTTACCGTCATCAAACGCAAACACACGCGTTCACTGGAATATTAAAACTGGACAAGTTGTCAAGGTAAGTTTTCTACGCGAGTAATGTGACTGTATTTTTTGACAGGAATGTTCGAGGCTTTACGTGTTACACTGGATCAAGCTAATAAATTTACCCTTTATATTAGAGGACAGTGAGTTTTTGTTATAGCGACGCTCCATCTGACACTGGCTGGATGATAAAGCGTCAAACAGATGATTTCTAAAACTTGTCCATTGAGAAGCGCTTCATAAATAGCGGCTCTCATCAGGATTTTCACACGCACAATGTTTCATTCAGATCGATGGGATGCTGCTGTGACAAGATTCGCTGTGTGCGACCTCAGGCAAGTTCAACGGCATTATTACCCTTACAAACCTTTTTTACCATGGTAACCACAGTTTACGCCAAAATACCATAATTGCAGTTATTGTCACTGTATAAATCAGAGGAGACCGGGGTCGGTTGGTACGATATCCACTTTGTTGAATATCTCTTGTGAAACAAACATCACTTCAAGTCCTTGCAAACAACATAAATTCATGTCACAAAATATTTAGACTCTTAACTTTTGTTAATTATTGACCAAAATTATGTTGTGCATTTAGGCTATACCAACCCATTTCAGGCTGAGGGGTTGGTTCGTTGAACACATTTTCACAATATGATTATTTTAATTAAAAAGCCTATGAAAATTCAAGAGATGTGATTAATCTTAACCATTTTCACAGTCTGTGGGGGAAAAAGGGTTAAGTAAAAAAAAAGAGTTATTTATTAAATGTTTTTTTTTTTGGTGATGATGACTAACACTAAGTTAGCAGTTATTGTAGAAAAACAGTGTTTTTGTGAATGCTAGGGTTACCATGGAAAATTTTTGGAAGGATTGACTATTGTTCTTGAACTATTTTTAGGTACCTACAGTACAGCACACTAAACACACTTGTGTTTCTATAATTAATCACACATCATGTAATGTGATTTATGTACTGTATAAAGAGAATATCTTATGGAATATAAAATGTTATTTTATTATGGAAAAATAGCTTTTCCCAAGTAATTAAATATGTCATGACAAATTTCAGGCCATTTTCCAATCGATTGAGGCTTTGTCCAATTTCCAGAGCTTGCACCTAACTCAGACACTCCATTTACCACCATCCAGTAAGCTCCACTCCTGACTATGATTTTAGGAATGGGGTTTAAGGTGAGGGAAAGAGACTGGTTGGAATAGTGTCCTATAGGAACAGCAGTGGATGTTGGTAGAAGAACATGTCTCACTTGGTTATCGTATTGTGTGTATTTCCCCCATGGAATATACTGACAGCTATCTAAGAGAAAAGAACAGATGGATCTAGTCTTACATTATTCAACGGCATCAGGTTGCATCTACGAAATACATGTCGAAACCTGTTGAAATCCATGCTGTACCGTGAAGCACCTGTTTATCAGGCTGTAGCTGGTTAATTATAACCAGCAATGAATTCAGAGCAATTTAAGATAATTAAGATAATTTAGAGAATTCAATAGGCTGGATTGATTGTTTTTTTAGTAGTAGATATGTTAGAAATGAAAGTGTTGCTCTATTACCTCAGGAAATTGCCATGGAGTGCTTTCATGTTTGTCATGGCTACTGCACTCTGGAGTGTCTACAAGGCTGTGATGTATTAGTAATTGTTGGCACAAGGAGTGTGCATTGGATGGCTGGAGAGTCTCTTCCTTAGAAAGACATTCACCAGGCTCAGATCTTAACAGCTGCAGAATATATAACTCAACGCTGAGTCAACATGCTATCCATACCAACAACCAAACCCTTCATCGCTCTGACCCACTGTCTGCCCACACACACACACACACACACACACACACACACACACACAGACAGTCTGACCCTATGCCTGCAAGTGCACTCATACACCCATAGTCAAACAAACACACATATACACACACTTATACACACACAGACACATTTCCGTTTCACATGGCATAAAATATTTATAGTATGAAGGGTCTGGTTTGTGTTTCTTATGAAATCAATCATATTTTAGCACTTATGTTAAGAAGTAAACATTTTAGCACTCACCTTTTCTTACCTTCAGACTTTTCTTTGGCATTGTAGTAGGCAACAACAACATTTGCTACTTTGTTTTTATTATAATGGACCAATTCTGTTTATACCGTAAAGCAAATAGTGTTTCCTACTATGCGTATTCTATTTATATTGCATCCAGTCACATTGCATTATTTTCTGTTCATATCAAAAAACTCCCAATGTAATTTTCTTATTACATGTCAGATTTATGTCAGATGTTATGTCACGGTCATTGAGCACAATTTTTTTAATGGTTTGCTTGGCCTATGATAAGAAAAACAGAAGCATCATTTTCATCATCATAACTTTAACATAAAAATATGCAATTTCTTCTGGAATGCTATAAGAGTACATTTTATATTATGGAGACTTTTCATGTAGTGTTCATTTTGCTTTCAGCAGTGAGATGAAACTCAGTAGTGGGAGTCAGCAGGGTCTCTCAGACCTCACACTATAGGGCTCAAGGCCTTTATTAACATTTCTCTTCCCTTTTCTTCTGAGAGTCGCAAAACTTGGCCTAACAGGTAGACAGATGCCCTTTGGCTTCTGACATGGAGATGTGTTTGTGTTTGTGTGTGTTTGTATTCATGTGAATGTCTCCTTCTTCCTACCTATGTGTGTGTGTTTGTGACCGGCCTCCCCTCCCCCTCCCCCTCCCCTGGCAAACCCCCTCTTTGTTTTTTTTTAGAAAATGAAAGCTGCCTCCCATAACCTTTGAGGAAAATAAAAGGGGATGAAAGTGGGAAAAAAAGCAAATGAGAAAGAATTCAGTTATTTATGGCTCTTGTCATCTGTTCACTGGCACGATTTATGCTCTATAAAGGTTCTCCATTCTCTCTTTTTGCAATTTCATACCCCAGCAAATCAGATATTACACAGCTTTGAATTTTTAATATTGTGTGGTCTGTGCAAGATAGAAAGAGAGATCTTTTAAAATCTTTGAAAGCAGTTTAAATCAAGTAACCTAACTTTCATTCTACAAGAGAGAGAACAGGGCTAGTAGTCACAAGGGCTGGAAATCTCAGGAACTATAAAGTTTTGAGCCAAAAGTCCAAATGTTTGGTTCCAAACAGTTCAAAACCCTTATAAATAGAATACATGTAGGCCTATATATATATACAGTGGTGTGAAAAAGTGTTGGCCCCCTTCCTGATTTCTTATTTTTTTGCATGTTTGTCACACTTTAATGTTTCAGATCATCAAACAAATTTAAATATTAGTCAAAGATAACACAAGTGAACACAACATGCAGTTTTTAAATGAAGGTTTTTATTATTAAGGGAAAACAAAATCCAAAACTACATGACCCTGTGTGAAAAAGTGTTTTCCCCCTACTACCATTCAAAAGTTTGGGGTCAGTAAGATTTTTTTAAAGGTGACATATTATGCCCCTTTTCACAATATGTATTCCCAAAACAAAGCTACTGGGTTAATCTTTTTCACGTTTCCTTGGTTGGTAGATGCCCCGGGGACCTGATTATAGCACTTAAAACCTGGAAAAGTCAGATTTTCATGATATGTCACCTTTAAAAGAAATTAATAGTTTCATCCAGCAAGGACATAAATTGATCAAAAGTGACAGTAAAGTCATAATGTTACAAAATATTTTTATTTCTATATATGTTATTAAAAATGTATTGTGGTTTAAAAAAAAAAAAACAACTGTTTTCAATAATAATAAATGTGACCCTGGACCACAAAACCAGTCTGAAGTCGCTGGGGTATACTTTAAGGAAAGTACTGTTAAAATCCACTTGGTGATAGAGTCCACAAAAGTCCTGAACATATTCCTCAATGGAGCGATTACCTTGACGGAGGCGAACTAGGCTATCTGCTGGGTTCATTTTGGGGGTCGTGTATTCTGTAAAGAATCATCAACTGAAGGCGAGTTGAATAGTGAGAACCCAAGTGCAGTTTTATTTACAGTGATCCAAACATAATCCGAGACTTGACTTGACTTGACATGAACAGACTTGACTTGACTAGGCATGAACAGACTTGACTTGGCATGAACAGACTAGACTCA